CCATACTGCCCAAAGTAATTTATAGATTCAATGCTATTCCCATCAAGCTACCATTGACTTTCTTCACAGAATTAGAAAAAACTACTTTAAATTTCATATGAAACCAAAAAAGAGCCATATAGCCAACACAATCCTAAGCAAAAAGAATAAAGCTGGAGGCATCACACTACCTGACTTCAAACTATACTGCAAGGCTACAGTAACCAAAACAGCACGGTATTGGTACCCAAAGAGATATGTAGGCCAATGGAACAGAACAGAGGCCTCAGAAATAACACCACACACCTACAACCATCTGATCTTTGACAAACCTGACAAAAAGAAGCAATGGGGAAAGGATTCCCTATTTAATAAATAGTGCTGGGAAAACTGGCTAGCCATATGCAGAAAACAAACTGGACCCCTTCCTTACACCTTACACAAAAATTAACTCAAGATGGATTAAAGACTTAAACATAAAACTTAAAACCATAAAAACCCAAGAAGAAAATCTAGGCAATACCATTCAGGACATAGGCATGGGCAAATACTTCATGACTAAAACACCAAAAGCAATGGCAACAAAAGCCAAAATTGACAAATGGGATCTAATTAAACTAAAGAGCTTCTGCACAGCAAAAGAAACTATCATCAGAGTGAACAGGCAACCTACAGAATGGGAGAAAATTTTTGCAATCTATCAATCTGACAAAGATCTAATATCCAGAATCTACAAGGAACTTAAACAAATTTACAAGAAAAAAAAACAACGCTATCAAAAAGTGGGCAAAGGACATGAAGAGACACTTCTCAAAAGAAGACTTTTTTTTTTTTTTTGAGACGGAGTCTCGCTCTGTTGCCCAGGCTGGAGTGCAGTGGCCAGATCTCAGCTCACTGCAAGCTCTGCCTCCTGGGTTTACACCTTTCTTCTACCTCAGCCTCCCGAGTAGCTGGGACTACAGGCGCCCACCACCTCGCCCGGCTAGTTTTTTGTATTTTTTTAGTAGAGACGGGGTTTCACCGTGCTAGCCAGGATGGTCTCGATTTCTTGACCTCGTGACCCGCCCGTCTCGGAAGAAGACTTTTATGCAGCCAACAAACATATGAAAAGAAGCTCATCATCACTGGTCATTAGAGAAACGCAATTCAAAACCACAATGAGATACTATCTCATGCCAGTTAGAATAATAGTCATTAAAAAGTCAGGAAACAACAGATGCTGGAGAGGATGTGGAGAAATAGGAATGCTTTTACACTGTTGGTGGGACTGTGAACTAGTTCAACCATTGTGGAAGACAGTGTGGTGATTCCTCAAGGATCTAGAACCAGAAATGCCATTTGACCCAGCAATCCCATTACTGGGTATACATGCAAAGGATTAAAAATCATTCTACTATACAGACACATGCACACATATTTGTTGTAGCACTGTTTACAATAGCAAAGACTTGGAACCAACCCAAATGTCCATTAACGATAGAATGGATAAAGAAAATGTGGCACATATACAGCATGGAATACTATGCAGCCATAAAAAAGAATGAGTTCATGTCCTTTGTAGGGACATGGATGAAGCTGGAAACCGCCATTCTCAGCAAACTACCAGAGGATCAGAAAAGCAAACACCACATGTTCTCACTCATAAGTGGGAGTTGAACAATGAGAACACATGGACACAGGTAGGGGAACATCACACACCAGGGCCTGTTGGGGGTTGGGGAACAAGGGGAGGGAGAATATTAGGACAAATACCTAATGTATCCAGGGCTTAAAACCTAGATGATGGGTTGATAGGTGCAGCAAACCACCATGGCCCGTGTATACCTATGTAACAAACTTGCATGTTCTACACATGTATGCCAGAACTTAAGTAAAATTAAAAAAAAAAAAAATTAAAAAAGAACAGTAAGGGAAAAAGCTGTCCCCATGATTCAGTTACCTCCCACTGGGTCCCTCCCATGACATGTGAGTATTATGGGAGCTATAATTCAAAATGAGATTGGGGTGGGGACACAGCCTAACAGTATCAAACAGCTAGGGGGAACTGCCATTCATCTTATTACCCTAAGCTTTCTATTTTCCTTTTGAGTTTCTAACTTCTCCTGCTTTAGCCTACATACCTGGCTGTCAGCCTCTTTTCTTTTACTGATTTCTGATTCCTCTACTAAGCATGGTTCTGCCTGAAATCCAGCCTAACTCAGAACATAACAGCCCACCAAGTCCTTACCTGTGATATATTCAGTGTCTACTGTGGGGCAGGTATATATTTTCCCCTTCAGGTAATCTCACAACAATCCCACAAAAGACAATTTTTCCTCATCTTACAGATAAAACAACAGGCTTAGAGAAGCGAAGTGACTTCTTCCAAGTCCCTCCCAGGACAAGAATATTGGTCTGTCTGGCTCTGCAGCCAATGATTCTACTACCTAACTTACCTGTACACTGAGCCCCAAAGGGCCCATCCTGTCTTTAACCACCTTTCTCAGGTGTCCAGGCCTGGAGCTCCTTCCCCAAGCCTCATTAGCTATTGGCTAGATTTTTGTACAACTCTAATGGACTTTGGACCACAGAATGGTTAGCCAAGTGACTCCAGATATTTTGACCATCCAAAATTACCTGCTGCTGTTTCCCTCTCACCTACACCAATCCAGTGTTTGTTTTTTATTATTTTAAACTTAAAAAAGTGACTCTATAATTATGCATTGTTAGAAATCTGTAAGTCACAAAAAAATAATCAAGGTATAAAGAACACCACTAAAGTATTAAATCTTTCACAGACCATGAGCAGATATCATTGCCATGTTAGTACTTCCAGACTGGTATGAAGTTCCCTGTGCTGTGCTCTTCTGCTCCCTCCTCCACTTCCTCAGCAGCCTGCCAGTGAGGACCTAGCATGCTCTGGCCTCACTCCTCAAGAATTGACACTGAGGGTCTTAACTGACCACAAAACTGAATATGAGATGAAAATATGAAGTAGCTACCAGAAAATTGAATGCCATTTTAGACTGCATTAATAAAAAATTGTGTCTGGAGAAGGTTTTGGAGTATTGCACCTACAAACCATCTATAAACAATTATAAAACAATGAAGGCCGTGTGCTCAAAGTAGTCAAAAACTAAAATAGAAGGAAAAATAGGATAGAGGAGGAGATGGCCATTGAAATGGGCCTTGAAATATTGGTAGAATTTTGATAGGTAGAGATGGCAGTCAGACATTCCAAACTGAGTTAATGTGTTTTTGGTTTTGTTTTAATTTTAGAGACAGGGTCTCACTCTGTCACCCACACTGGAGAGCAGTGGTACAATTATGGCTCATTGCAGCCTCAAACTCCTGGGCTCAAGAGATCCTCCCGCTTTAGCCTCCAGAGTAGCTGGGTCTATAGACATAAGCCATCATGCCCTGAGGGTCAGCTGCAGCCCTGTTTTAGAAATAGTATGGACTCAGGGGCTAGAATAGCAGCCAGAATTCTAGCTTTCTCTCTCCACTCATTGTTCTCTTCATGTGTGCTTCGTTCATCATTTTTGCAGATTGGCATCCTCTGCTTCTTGAATCCCCATGCAGAAAATATGGCTACCAACAGCTTCTGAATCCACCCGCAGAGAGACTGACTGCTCTGTTATTTTCCCAGCGTCTGTGAAGAGACTCTGACTGTCTAAAATGTTGGTATAGTGATCACCCCAGGGTTAAGCAACCATGACTGGTGAAAAGGAAAAACGTTATGAACCTGGCTGTTCAGAGCCACCTGAGGAAGCTTGTAGGAGAAGGTGTCAGTTTACAGAGAAAGGGGAGGCCTGGGCAGATGATACAAGAGGTGCCCATTACATCCCTCTAAGGGTGAGCTGTCTAAAATGGTAGGCACTGGCCACATGTAGTTACTTAATTGTAAATGTAAACTTCTTAAAATTTCCTTGGACACATTAGCCTCATCTCAAGTGCTCAATAGCCACATGTGGCCAGTGGCTACTGTATTGAGCAGTAAAGATATAGAACACTTCCCTCATTGCAGACATAGTGAACACCTCTCCTCTAGAGTTATTTTTGGTTCTACCAGCAAAAGCCCAAGTGTTCCAGCTAGAGAAACAGCAAATTTCTTTGGGACATGAACAACTAGAAAACATCTCACCTTGTCCTCCAATAACTTGGAAAGAATGTTTTTGTTTGGAGACCCCAGAACTGGTTCTTGTTTTTTGTTTGTTTGTTTTGTTTTGTTTTTGAGACAGGGTCTTGCTCTGTCACCTAAGCTGGAGTGCAGTGGCATGATCTTGGCTCACTGCAACCTCCGCCTCCTGGATTCAAGGGATTCTCATACCTCAGCCTCCTGAGTAGCTAGGACTACAGGTGCACACCACCACACCGAGCTAATTTGTGTGTTTTTAGTAGGGATGGGGTTTTGCCATGTTGGCCAGACTGGTGTCGATCCCCTCGAGACTGGCCAGACTCACTCGACCTCAAGTGATCCACCCACCTCGGCCTCCCAAAGTGCTGGGTTTACATAGGCATGAGCCACCACACTTGGCCTGGTTCTTGATTATATCCCATTTGAACACTGAGCAAAGCCTCCTAATTTCATTATGCCTGAATTCTTAGACTACCTTACCCCCAAATTTCAAAGATAATTAATTCAATCATCCATCTCATCTTCGTTATGCCAGGCTACCAGACCAATGCAATTCCTTTTAGTTAACTGTTTTGTCCAGTTTCCATAATATTCGGTTTCTTCTTCTGCTGGTTTCCTTCTCAGTCCTGTTTATTATGCCTTATCAGGACTTTACATGGCAGAGATGGCTGCTGTCCCCTAAAATTCAGCATCCCCTTTCACAGTGTAGATATGTGAGTTGAATTTGGCTGCCCAGCCAGGAACCGCATCTTCCAGTCCTTCCTGCATCCAGATTATGCCATGTGACTAGTTTTCATCAATGAAATGAGAAAGAGATTTATGTCGCCTCCCAGATCGGTTTTTTTAAAAGCATCATTGTTTTCTCTGCTGTCTTCCCCTATCTGAATAGGAAGGATTCTCTAGCTTTAGGGGAAGTCAGAGCCACGAGATGGAAGGAGCTTGGATCTCCGAACTGTTCCATGGAGAAGAGCTGCAGTCAGTGAAGAGCACCTGCAGTGGACTCTGAACCTGGGGGTGACGAGAACCACTGAAATGTGAGGGCTTGTTCGTGAGCGTTTGTCTAGCATTACCCTAGCTGATACCTAATTGATTTCCTTACATCCTCAAACTTCTTGCCTTAAATTTCTTCTCCTGCCTCTCCCCCAGCAGTCCAGTTCCCCTCAAGCTTCTGGAAGAGAGGCGGCTCATTCTTCCACGGCAGCCTAGACACCAGGGAGGCTGAGAGATGCTACTGGCGTTTTCTTTTCTTTTTTCTTTTTTCTTTTTTTTTTTCTTTTTGAGATGGTGTCTCGCTCTGTCGCCCATGCTGGAGTGCAGTGGCACAATTTGACTCACTGCAACTTCAGCCTCCCAGGCTCAAGCGATTCTCTTGCCTTGGCCTCCCGAGTAACTGGGATTACAGGTGTGTGCCACACCCGGCTAATTTTTGTATTTTTAGTAGAGATGGGGTTTCACCATGTTGTCCAGGCTGGTCTCGAACTGCTGACCTCAGGTGATGCATCCATCTTGGCCTCTCAAACTACTGGGTGTGAGCCACCACGCCTGGCCGGTATTGGCATTTTCTTAACTCCTAGTTGCATTGTTCAGACCACTTCACATGTGAAATTAATGCCATCCAACTTTTTTTTGTAGTTGGTGTTCCACACACAGATTGGCATTGACATTGTTAAATAGTCTGCCTGTGCTCAGGGAGAGAATTTGAGGACAAAAGGGAATATTGGCATCAGTGTCTATGGCAACCTAAAGAAATGTATATGAATTTGCGTATACATCAAGCTTTCTACTTACCATGAGGAAAAACATGAATTCTCTCCTCGTCTGGTCTCTCTTATTAGTCTCACTCTTCTTTCCCCCATCCACCAACTGCCTCATCTGTCCCATTTCCATGGGGTGTGTGGGCAGCTGAGGGAGATCCAGCATAAGACATCAGTGCTGAAAAGGCTAGCCTGGAAAAAGCAAAGGCCAAATGAGACTCCATCACAGAATTTCTAACACATATATCCAAGGTGCAAGGACCAATTTGTCAGACCTTTAGATTACATGATAATTGACTGATGATTCACTTTAGAGATGTGAAAATAAAAGTACTTTTATATTTTTGTTTTTCTGAAAATGGTCCCAAAGTTCAATGATTTTCTCGCATATCTCAAATATTACAATGTCATCGGTGATTCAAGGCCAGCACATTTTTGCAGGATATCTGAAAAGAACTTACTTTTCCATAAAGCCCTCTAAGCTGCTTTGCCGCTTATTAGATTTATAGCTGATTCTTTCAAAGTTGTCTGTGACCTTGACCTACAGACAACAATAGCAAAATACAAATTTTGTGGAAGGCAGTAGCACTGTCTTTCTTGGATAAAGTCTGCATCTCCTACCGAGAAAAATTCTAAGAGGTGTTGCCAAGCTAATGCACATGGTTAAAGTAACTGCCTCACTGCCCCTTTCCTTTCTTTCTTTCTTTTGATTTTTTGTTCTAGGTTTACTGCACTTGCCTCTAGCAAGTTATGGCATTCTGTGCCACTCAAGTCCTCTATCTGTTGCAAAAATGTGCATCCCAAGATGGTGCTCTTGAGCTGTGGTGGAATATCTTCAGACAGACACTATGGGACCCACAATGAAGCAATTGAGAAAAAGGACACCCCTAAAGAACCACCAGGGTGCAGCATTCCTGAGTGGCAGAAGCCATGCAGGAAATCGCGGTATGTACAGCTGGCACTTTGAAGAACAATGAATTCCTTCAAGGCTCTATGCAGGCATTTCAAACAGTGGCTACCAGACAGGCTTGGCATAGCTTAGACTCAGTTACAGCTAGAATTATTTTATTTCTGGGTAGGTAACTGAGAGAAGCAGGAATTGTGCATTTATCTCAGTATGGTTTTATTTTTAAAGAATGAAACAGCAACAAATAGAAACAACTGCTGTAACAGCAAAGAGCATAGTTTCTTCTAAAATAAAGATTATATTAGAACACTCCAAATGGGGACACATTGTCTGACAAGAGGTCAGAATATCAGAAAATGGAAGTGTCTTACTTAATTAAATAACCCTGAAGTAATTTAATTTCATGGGTAAGTGAGACTTTTAAAAAGGGTTAAACAAAAGCCAAATCCCTAAGTAGAAATATGTAGCCCGATCGCCTGCAAAATTGTTACAGATCTTTGTGTTTTATTTTCACAGATGCTGCACCTTAGTCCAGGGATTTTTAAAGTGTGGTTCCTGAAAGAGCTGTCTCAGAGTCATCCGTGTTGATGGTGTAACGTAAAGATTTTCGGGCCTCAAGACTGAAGCAGGACAAGGAATTTGAAGTTTTAAGCAGCTCACCTGACTTGTCTGTCCTCTAATATCTGAGAGCACCTGACTTCTGCTCTTTCGGTAAAGGCAACAATGGTTTTATGAGCACTGTCGTCACATCTCTCCACTCTAGGGATCCTTCTCATTTCTCCCAGACGAGGTCACCCACAGCTGCTGCTTCTAACTGCTGGCTTCCAGCCTGCTGTCTGCCAGCTGGCTCTACCCTCTCCTATAACACAGCAGAGAGTAGCTGTGATCTCCTGTGTGCTCACTCTCCATTCCCTTGGGTCCATGTTTTGGTCCTGCACTTAAATTTTACAAGCATACTCTCTTTCTCTTAAGGTAAGCAACCATTTTAAATCTCAGCAGTAAACAAAACAAAAAATCACCAGGAAACTATATCAAATCAGGTTTTTTTGTTTGTTTTTTGTTTTTTGTTTTTGTTTTTTGTGTGGTTTTTTTTGTTGTTGTTTGTTTGTTTTTGAGATGGAGTCTTGCTGTGTCACCCAGGATGGAGTGCAGTGGAGCGATCTTGGCTCACTGCAACCTCTGCCGCCCAGATTCAAGCGATTCTCCTCTCTCAGCCTCCTGAGTAAGCTGGGATTACAGGCACCCACCACCAGGCCTGGCTAATTTTTGTATTTTTAGTAGAGATGGGGTTTCACCATATTGGCTAAGCTGGTCTCGAACTCCTGACCTCAAGTGATCCGCCCACCTCGGCCTCCCAAAGTGCTGGGATTATAGGCATGAGCCACCACGCCTGGCATCAAAGCAAGTTTTAACCAGCCTTTTTGTCCACTGATAACATAAAGGAGGTCAGCAGCAGCTAAGTCCGGTGCCGGTAGAGCTTTCTTGTCCTTTCACACTGCAAGATAAATAATCACTTAGCTAAGAGGCCAATTTTACCTTTTTAAAAAAAGATTTTAAATAAGGCCGGGTGCAGTGGCTGACTCCTGTAATCCCGGCCTTGGGAGGCCGAGGCGGGCAGATCACTTGAGGTCAGGAGTTCAAGACTAGACTGGCCAACATGGTGAAACCCCATCTGTATTAAAAATACAAAAAAATTAGCGAGGTATGGTGGTGGGCACCTGTAATCCCAGCTACTTGGGAGACTGAGGCAAGAGAATCCGTTGAACCCGGGAGATGGAGGCTGCAGTGAGCCAAGAGTATACCACTGCACTCCAGCCTGGGCAACAGAGCTGGATTCTGTCTCAAAAAAAAATTTTTTTTAAATGAGAGCTACATCTTATTAACAAAATTAAACTATGTTTGTTTTTGGAGTTTTATTTTTGTAGCATTTACAGAAATCTGTTAAGAGCTTCTTAATTATAAAAATAAGTTAATAACATATTTCTCAAATTGACTTATCAATTCATTGTCACTGTGGATGAAATTACTTTATAATCAATTACCAGAAAGAAACCTGATTTGATTTCAGCTCACCCCCAATATTCAAGGCACTTGGATTTTTGGTCTCCGCCCATTTATTATGTGGTCTACTAAAAATAGACCACATCCTAGGAGTTAGGATTCCAAGAACAGTTTCCACTTATTACTCACTTCTTGATATTTATGGAACTAGTCATTTCGCAAATATGAGCTCTACTCTCCAATCTTTAGAAGAAAAAAAGAAAATAACAATAACAACAATAGAATTTCATTCTCTCCAGGAATTAGCAATGAAACGAGAGTGGAAAGAAAGCAAATGGGAATGTTAGAATTGGGGAAAATGTAATGCAAAGCCAAATGTGAATAGGAATTGCAGTTGACAGGAGGGGAAAAGAGGGTGCGGAGGACAAATATACCAACAGAAAACATGTAAAGTCAATAGCATGCAACCTTTTAAAAAATAAATGTTTTTTTTTTTTTTTTTTTTTTTTTTTTGAGACGGAGTCTCGCTCTGCCGCCCAGGCTGGAGTGCAGTGGCTGGATCTCAGCTCACTGCAAGCTCCGCCTCCTGGGTTTACGCTATTCTCCTGCCTCAGCCTCCCGAGTAGCTGGGACTACAGGCGCCCGCCACCTCGCCCGGCTAGTTTTTTTTGTATTTTTAGTAGAGACGGGGTTTCACCGTGTTAGCCAGGATGGTCTCGATCTCCTGACCTGGTGATCCGCCCGTCTCGGCCTCCCAAAGTGCTGGGATTACAGGAAAAATAAATGTTTTAAGTTCACTTTGATAGTGGATAGGACAAGAATATTGGCACATTATGAAAAAAGACATGACAAGGCTATGAATAAATTTTAATGAAAATATATAAGTGGATTACCCTCTATTATAACACCAGAGGCCACAAAACTATAGGAAGCAAATTCTTCACTAGAAAATATTCTTCACAGTCTCTTTTAATCATGATGTCTACATCTCCAGTCTACATTAACTTTCATACACAGAAACAAATTAGAATGACATTCATTTCTATACTTACAACCTGACATCCTTAGATATGTGAATCTTATGCCAACTTAGAGCAAAAATCAAAATTGGAAGATTATAGTGTAAGAAAAGACCATGGCTTGTAATCGCAGCACTTTGGGAGGCCGAGGCAGGCAAATCATGAGGTCAGGAGTTTGTGACCAGCCTGGGCAACATGGTGAAACCCTGTCTCTAGTAAAATACAAAAAAAATAAGCCGAGTGTGGTGGCGGGCGCCTGTAGTCCCAGCTACTTGGGAGGCTGAGGCAGGAGAATTGCTTGAACCCAGGAGGCGGAGGTTGCAGTGAGCCGAGATTGCGCCACTGCACTCCAGCCTGGGCAACACAGTGAGACTCCATCTCAGAAAAGAAAAGACCATGAGGGGAAGACCAAATCGAGTTGTAGAGACTTCTGGTGTGGATGTGCAGACACGGTTTAATCCATAGTCTATGGTAATCACCATCTGTAAGTGGAGCCCCCAGCCTACTTGACTTGGTGGTAGACATTCTTTCCACTGGCAGCAGCTTTCATTTCTTTTTCCTGGAAATTTTATCTTTCTTTTCTGTTTTAGAGTAAAATGGAAGCCTGCTAGCAGAACACATCTATCCACATGACTCTGACATAGTAGCCTGCATTTCCCAGCTTAGACCAGCTTCCTTTATGGGAGTTATTTTTCATTGCATTCCAAAGACAAAAGACCTTCGGTGATAATCAGTAAAGATCCTAACTTGGTGGCTGACAGTTTTCTACGGAACATGCAGTTCTGACTCCAATAAGCCACAAGGCAGTTCAAATAAAACACTTGGCTGCCCTTTGGGAAGGACCTGGTGGGCACATCTTTCTCTTTTCCTTCACATCTCATTGCCTGTTGTCACTCATGGAATATGTGCATGGCAGGATCAAGACACCACCGTCTGGTGTTCCTGCTGGCAGGGAAAATGTTGGATTTGAACCTAGATTCCCAATTTATGTTATTTTACACCCCTCTACCATTATCTCCATTTTATTACCTGGGGGGAAAGTCGTGTTCACTAAGGAGGAGGTGGTTATTGCAACTATTTGAATCTTATCTGGGGCCATTAGGAATTCATCCATCTGTCAAACCTGTGGAAGGAAGGAATATGAATGGAGTACCAGTTCTGATGGTGAAGGGTGCCTTAGAACAGATGTTTGAGTTAACAAGTCTTTTCAGTGGTGTAACACATACTAGGGTAGCACTGGTACCAAATGAGAATGGGGCTTTGTCTTTGTAGCCTTTTTTCCCTTGTGGCTTGTTGCAGTGGTTTGAACGGCATGGTTTTTTATTTATTTATATTTTCTTAAAGAGAATTTAGCAATTTGTGGGATTTTTCTAGAATTGAATACTTTGATAATAACTCATTTACTGAGGGAAAGTTCCATTGTGAGATTTTGCTTTGTTTTTTGTTTTCATTTTTTTAAAGAAAGCACAGCAGCATCAGTTTATTATTGTACTCTATTTTAGGGCTACTCCCACTTTAGACATTCTTTGTGAGGTGTCATGCTCTCTCTCTCTTCCTCTCTCTCGGGTGTGCAGGAGGCTTTGCAATATGTTCCTGTAAGAGTTCTCAAAAGTGAGAAATGAGATTTTCAATCTTCTCATTCAAACAGTAACTGCCTGAAAAGCCAAGAAGTGGAGTGACGGGTGGTGTTGAAGGTGACAGATTGATGAAGATAAGGAGAAATGAATTTGGAAATGCAGGGAGGAGCAAACCAATGAAGAGTTGTAAAAACCAGAAAAGCAATTCTGAATTAGATTTAGAAGTGGGAGAATGACAAGGTTAAGTTTTCTATAGGGAGAAAGTTGTTAGGTTGCCTTGTTTGAGACAGCCTGGAATTTTTGAAAAGTGGAAATTAAAAAAAAAAAACTAGAGCAGTGTGATCATTCACAAGAGGCAGGAGTTGACGGTAGGGGTATCTGCAGAGGCAAGCCTTGGGCAACTTCTTTGGGGGTGGTTACTTAATTCTTTGCCATGGTTTGGTCAAAACAGTGTATTAGTTTGTTTTCACACTGCTGATAAAGGCATCCCTGAGACTGGGTAATTTATAAAGATAAAGAAGTTTAATGGACTTACTGTTCCACGTGGCTGGAGAGGCCTCACAATCATGGCCGAAGGTGAGAGGCACATCTTACATGGTGGCAGACAAGAGAGAACTTGTGCAGGAAAACTCCGCGTTATAAAACCATCAGGTCGGCCGGGCGCGGTGGCTCAAGCCTGTAATCCCAGCACTTTGGGAGGCCGAGACGGGCGGATCACGAGGTCAGGAGATCGAGACCATCCTGGTTAACACAGTGAAACCCTGTCTCTACTAAAAAAAAAAAAAATACAAAAAACTAACTGGTCGAGGTGGCGGGTGCCTGTAGTCCCAGCTACTTGGGAGGCTGAGGCAGGAGAATGGCGTAAACCCAGGAGGCGGAGCTTGCAGTGAGCTGAGATCCGGCCACTGCACTCCAGCCTGGGCGACAGAGTGAGACTCCGTCTCAACAAAAAAAAAAAAAAAGAAAAAAAAAACCATCAGGTCTTGTGAGACTTACTCACTATCATGAGAACAATGTAGGAAAGACCTGCCCCCATGATTCAATTACCTCCCACCAGGTCCCTCCCATGACACATGGGAATTGTGGGAGTTTCAATTCAAGATGAGATCCGAGTGGGGACACAGCCAAAGCATATCAAACAGGTTGTTTGTTTATAGAGAATTAACTGCACATCAAATATGTGAGTCAGACTTAAAGTCATAGAGAACTGAGCACAGGAACCCCTGCATGAGGCTCAGATTTGGAAAGCTGTCTTGCTCCTGGCCTCCTCATATCATATATAGTTACTTCATCATTACTTTTAGCTCTGTGGCTTGCACTAAGTATCTTGGTCTCTGTTGCTTCCTGAAAATTGACAAGAAATGAATAATCCAAGTGATCTAACCCCTTCAACTCTGTCTGTCTCACAATGCAT